AGTCAATATACATACTTAATCAAAATATTCTCACTTACAGGGTGATTCATGATCAGGGAAGCATATACGGGGGAGGGGTTAATGGGGGTTACTGGGGAGTAATTACCTCCAAGAATTTTTAAACCTAACTTTTTGTAGGTAATAAAATGTATTTTTTTCAAAGGTAAAGTCTTAAATATTACCACTACCTCCCTCAGACTTAAACTTTGGATGCGCTACTGTTCATGATTTCGCAGATCTTTTTCTGTCAACAATAGCTGATATTCAAAAAAACCCACCGCCAAAGCAGTCCTGGATTTGTCAATAGGCCGTGGCCTATGGGCGGCAGCGTCCTAGGGGCGGCAGAATTCAGAGGACGTTCACTCGATTTCAGAGGATAAAAGTCAAACAAGTTCACTGGTTTTCTCATGGTTTTGTTATACTAATACGTTAAATCCCTATAGAAACTCATTCCTATCGAAAATTATCAAACCTAAGTACATACTGTTAGAGTTGATAATATATTATACTTACCCATTATATACTTAATTTTAGACTTAGTTCTTTAACCGCTTGGTATTTTGGTATTGTTACATTTCTTGGTGCAGTTCTTGATTTAGCCTGAAGAAGTTGTACTAAGACATTATTATGTATTGTTAGAGAAAATTATTGGATTTTAAGAGGAAGACGAACCATAAAAGAAGTTACCTCAAAATGCATAACGTGTAAACGCTTTAATAGCAAATTCATATCAACTCCTTTAGCACCTTTGCCAAAAGACAGGATAAATAAGGCAGCTGTATTCGATATATCAGTAGTGGATTTAGCTGGCCCAGAGATAATGAACACCATAAACTATGATGATATTATAGATGATTTTGCTATTAAAAAGTCCCTTAAAAAATTGTAATTCTTGTTTCTTTTTTACACTCTTTCTTAATGACTAATTCATTCGTTTATTTAGCTTTAGTGCATTCCTTACTACAAATGGAAAATTATTATTTTAGAAAGGTACATGGGGCGGTGGAAATAAAGTGGTCTACACTCATAAAAAATATAAATCCGGCATTGCGCCAAAGTCTCTCAATATTTTATATTGTATAGTTCTCGATGTACTAGTTCGAAATTGTTATTGGTAAAATTTCCAAATATAACTTAATATGTACGCCAAATAGATACTATTTGGGTGCAAAAAATTTCGTACTTACACCTGATCGATCACTAGGGCCGACTAGAGGGGGGGGGGGGGCAGTCGGGACTAATTCCCGGGGCCCTGGCTGAAATGGGGGCCCGGCAGCAGCAGTAGTGTTTGTTACTTTCAGAAGTTCGACAGACGAGGGAGAGAGATTCAAGTAGAGGAGAAGAAATTTTTGCTTAATACCTTTTTATTTAATGTTGTATAAAATTTTCGCGGGGCCCGATCTGGAGAATTGTCCTGGGGCCCGATCTGGCTCTCGGCGGCCCTGTCGATCACAGTTCGATATGTAAGGAGAAAACATCAACAAGAAATGTAGAAATTGTTGTCAAATAATAGAAACTAATTGCCTTGTAAGTTGCGAGTTTAAGATGTGTCCTAATATATACGAGTGACATGACGGTTAACACATCAGGCAGACTTTATAGGAGACTGAAGTCGAGATCGTTTAATGCTTGCTGAGTCCAAATAACGACGAAACCGGTCCAAGAATTTCTAAATTTCTAAATCAAAGCTAGAGGCTGAAAATGATTTTCTACTCATTTCCTACTGATAATGCAATGCAATGTTGATTTAACTTTATTTCAGACATTATTACGAAAAGTATAATGTATTAATATTTTATCAGAATATCAGATATTAAAAATATCTTAAATTAACGTATGTGAATTAAAGTAACTCAATAAAACCATATTTGTAGAAGGTACAATACGACAAGATTGAGATGGCAAGTCAGAATTAGATGCGTACTGGTAAATCTAAAAATGGAAGGAGTTATCTCAGTTAACACATAGATCACTGAGACTAGAGATGGGTTGCTATTTCACAGTAGCAGGTTTTGTCACTGCTTTTTACTTGTCACTGGAGCAAAGTGCTCCACGACTCCCCAAAAAGTTGTTACTTTTCGAAGCAGGTTCCGAGAAAAAAGGAAAACTATATACGTTATTTTTTTAATTCTTTTTTTTAATAGACTTATTTTGTCTGTTCATATTCATTATAAAAAACTTAGAAATAGAAACAGAATGCAAAATGTTAATCTTAAAGTAGTAACTCAATAAGTGAATCCCCGATAATACTAAAGACAAAATTAATAATATCAATCATCTTATTTACTTTTGTCCTGGCTGTACGGTCCATTTGAAGGGTTGCCACATTTCCGAAAGTGAAAAGCGTGGCAACCGTGACGATAGAGCATTTTTATATAATCAGGCCCAAATTTTGTGACCATTTCTAAATAAAAGGGTCCTCAGCTTATTTTTCCTAAAACGAGTCGAACATTTTTATGTAATGTCCTTTTTTTCTGAAAAAAAAAGGTTCTCAACTTTTTTATATAATCATGTCCATTTTTTGTCAGCATTTCTAAAAAAAATAAGGGCCTTTTACCCGGTCTATTTTTGTATAAATCCGATTCCTCTGCGGCTTTTAAAAAGCGTGGAATTTGCATAAAAAGCATGGAATTTGCATAAAAAGCGCAATCTTGTCATACTGTATCTACTTACCAAATAAATATATAACCTTTTTAAACTAAACACTATTTAAACAAAGGTGTTTAAAAACAACTATAGTTATTAATCGCAAAAAATTAAAAACAATATAAGAAAAAACGTATTTTTTCAACTAACCAGCACTGTATAAAACAAAATACACAAAATATTTCCTATTTAGAAGCACATAATATAAACAAATCTAAAATGTATATTTTTGAGTAGTTCAAATATCAAGTATAGACGGCGCTGCGATCTTCAATATATATATATTCCAGTGGCGGTTTATGCCTTAAAACACAGGTAGTGCCAGGCTAGTGTATCACGCTTACTGAATGTTCCCCGTCGGAGGCAAAACATTTTTGGGTGCCACGCCCAAATTTTGATCGCCCTCAAACAAAAGACACGAAAAACAAAACACAAAATGCATTTTTTTGTTCACATCCACAAAATCTGTTATTTTTTAAATACATATTCTGATTAAAACCTTATACGTCTTTTGAAGCTTGACGAACTAAAGGTGGAAAGCCTTCTGCGTTTTTGTGATTTCTAAATCGGAAAGAGGTATTTAAAATTCTCGATCGATGACACCGTTTAACGTATTAAACACGTACTTTCTGTATGTATGACGTAAACGTTTTCAATTTATTGCTGTGCTAGCCGGCCGGGCCGCATATTCGGAAATCGCCGACATATTAGATACTCGGATCAGTTCGGTATCGAGAATAACAGCCTCGTAAAATCTCGACGTGTTAGACTAATACGTCGGCGATTTACAAATACGAGTTATCTAAGCATTGATGTACAATTAGATACTATTAGGATAGGTATATTGGTTTATTATCTCACATAATTAGGAAAATTTGGTAATTTAAATTTAAAAAGGTCAATTGTACATTTAACAAAAGTAAATACATTAGAAATTATTGTCGCATACATATTTTTAAAATTTAAAATTAATTTTTTATTTTTAAGTAAAAAGAAATGTGCTAATCCTGCAGTTTACGTTTTCACGGATTGTGCATGCGCCATCCTTGTGTTCACTAGAATAACGAAGTATAATTTAGAGGGCAAGGAAAATGTTTGGAAATTCACAAAAATATTCTATAATTGTAGAATATTTTGAATATCGTGAAACACCGACTTTCTTTGTTCCCAAAATTCAAAAAAGAAATTGATAATGCAAGTATGCTGACGCATGCGCAACATGCGGCGACGTAAATAGAAATACCGAAAATTTAATGTACCTATACTGCTTCTTTATTATTTCCTCCTAATCTCACATTATTTTTAACACACGTCGCCAACGAATGGGGTGCTTTCGTAACTTTATTTTTAATTACCTGATGTTCGAAATTTGTTTTTGAATGCAGTTTCAGGGGTAAATGGAGAACATTGGAGAATATGCATTGATCATGTTAAGAAGGTAGAAAATTCATTTTCGAAAGTGTATATAGCAATAGAAAACTTAATAGACCCTATAATAATATTCCTCAGAAAAGACAATGATAATGATACCAGTAGTTCTTGATTTTAGGTACTAAAGTGTTACTTTTAATGCCAAGAGATTAAAAAAAGTTTAATCCCATTAACAACATAATCCTTCTTGGTATTTATTGGTTAAATTTAATTCGTTCAATAATAAATTGCAACAATTTTGTCAGAAGCATGGAATGTGGCGTTATATCCCTACTTTTACTGCACTCCTCTTTTATTTAGACTATGGGCAATAGAAAAAGGAAACAAAACTAAAATTGTCTCTGATGAGTGATGATTAATGTCCAGTAAACAAACATTTCTTATCGCTTGTTTCATAAATCGCAGACGTATTAGTTCTAACACGTCTGGATTTTACGAGTTTGTTATTCGCGGCATCGAACTTTTCCTTGTTTCTAACGTGTCGACGGTTTACGAATATGCGGCCGGGCCGTATGTAGTATAATCAGTCCAGTTAGTTGAGTCAATCGCTTTAATTATTTGTTTTGTCTTGGTATAACATGTTCTCTTTTCTGTGGAATAACACGATGCGAATTTGTTTGTCGGCGTCAAATTACATAGTGATAAATAATTTATATATGTAATAATTATTGAACTAAAATAAAAAATAATATATTGACCGACATATTTTGTGCTAGTGCCACGGCATTTGGCCCCTTAGGACAAACCTAATATAATTCACTATATTTTACAAAATTGGAGTTTCAACCAGATCCGGCTGCGTCAGTATCCAGTTTTGAATCAATTTTCTTCTTTATACTCTATTTTTTTTCTTGTTTAATTGCCCTCGTTAATTTTAGCTTCTGTTTTGCATTGATATGGTTGTTTTTTGCATTTATTTGCAGGATGCATAGGCGCCAAAGTCCGACTTCACGACAAGAATCAGAAATGGCGGTCAGAAATTTAAGAGAATTAAACGCAGCTGGGAATGTCGGAGATCCTGTCGAACGCCTTCGATTGTTGTGCCTTTCTAGAGGAGCAACAGGGATATTAGGTTTGGGAAGGTAATAAAAAATTACGCATTTGGAACCCTATGGAAATACATATATAATTCAAGCTCCAAATAACGTAATTATATCAGATGATTCTTTAGAAATAAATTTAACTCTTCCCAAATGTAACCCAAAATGATCAATCCGGTAGTCGACTTTGACATTTCTCTAAATTATATTAATATTATTAATTTATATAATTAGTTCAAAGTCTAGAGTTTTTGAGGACGCCTATTATAAATAGTATAATATTAGTTTTTCAACATTGAAAATGCAGATTCAAGATGACAGAAAAGGTCCCGAAACATCACACTTCGATGCTGAGAACCAAATTTTTATTCATATTATTAAAACAAAAATAACATCAATCATAGGTAGAAAATAATCTTTATAGTAAGCGGCAACGTCATTCAAAAGCAAACATTTTTGTTCATTTAAAAATAGGTTCTCAACGTCGAAGCACAGCTTATACAATACAGCTAAAACACTCTCTTGGCGGCAACGGTTTGCGTCGATTCCGTCGCGCATTGCTTAAACTCCTCCTTCGGACGGAAAAGACGGCTTTGGCGTTCAGAATCGTACTTAGGTAAGGATTGAGCCGTGCATATAATTCCGTTGATTGCATAATTTCATTGAGCCTATAATTTCGTTGATTTTGTTTGAGCTACCTGTTGTGTTAAGTTAAAGGTGCTGTTATTATTTTGGTGACTCTTTAACTGTGAGTAGAATGAGTGAAAAAAAAAATCATTCTGTCTGTGCAGTCAAAAGCTGTTTTAATAAGGGTTATACCTACAAGAAAACATTCTTTCGTTTTCCCAAGGACCCAAACCGGTAAGTACCACATTCTAAGAAATTTTCATTAATAATAATAATAATAATAATAATATAATTTATACAGGATGTGCCATTAGTGCGTAATTGTTCAATAGTTGAATTTGTGTTGTAGACACGCAAAAAAAGTTTTAAATAAAAATTATATGGATTTGAAAAATACATATTTTAAAAATATTTTTGAATATTGAATTGCAAATCAAAATGTATGTTTTTTAAATGGAACACCCTGTATTTTATTTTATTTTTAGAATGGTTTGGTAATACTGTATTTAACCCTAAAATGTATTAAAAAATATTAGTGTTGCCAAGCAATTAATTTTTTTTTAAATTAGAGAATGATGCAGACCCCAAATTAAATTATCATAATTTAGGTAGGTTTACATTGATTTCAAAATTGTTTAATATACAGACTTATAAAATACTAAGCTAACGAATAGTGGTGATAAAACTGGTTTATTTTATACAGAGTGTTTTAAAACATGTCTTAAATATGGCTAATTTTAAGTTCAATTTACTTAATTTTTTCAAACAAAACACCCTGTATATTATTTTGGCCTAAAATTCCTTATAAATTTGCTTATTTATCTATACCAAAATATTAGCCAATAACACATAAACTTTGTATCCCATGAGTGCGTAATTGATCGATAGCTGTTTTATTAGTGGAAATACGAAAAAAAAATTATATAAATTTGTATGACCATGTTTAATAAATATTCTTAAATATACAGGGTGTTCCATAAACGAGGGGAGTTGATGAAACTTATACATTTTTAAAGCAAAACACCTTGCAGGTAGTCATACATATTTGATAGTTTTCACATCGTCAAACCATTTTAGTAGACTTCATTTATTTGCTATAGGGTATATAGGGTGTGTCAAAATGGGGAGTAACGGTTTTCTCACGTTTTTAAATGGAATACCCTATAAATTATACCACCGACTAATTGATACAGGGTAATCCATTTAAAAAAATAGAGAAAATCGTAACCTCACGATTTGACACACCCTATATACAACATAGCAAATGAGTGAAGTTAATTAAAATTGTTTGACGATGTGATAACAATCAAATATGAATAACTACCTGTAGGGTGTTTTGCTTTAAAAAAGTATAGGTTTGGTCAGCACCTCGTTTATAGGCCACCTTGTATATTTAGGGGTAATTGTTAAATATGGCCATACAACATTTATATTAAATTTCTTTTTGTATTTCTGATAATAAAACAGCTATCAATCCATTACGCACTAATGGGACACCCTGTATATATGTTATTGGCTAACATGTTGGTATCGTTGAATAGGTAAATGTATTAGGAATTGTATGTCAAAATAATATACATTTAAAAAAAATTGACTAAATTGAACTTAAAATTAGCCATATTTAAGGCACGTTTCAAAACACTTTTAATAAAATAAACCAGTTCTATCACCACTATTCGTTAGCTTAGTATCATATAAGTATGTATATTTAACAATTTTTAAATCAGTGTAAACCTACCTAAATTATGATAATTTAATTTGCGGTTAGCATCATTCTCTAATTTAAAAAAAATAATTGTTTGGCAAAACTGTAATATTTTTTTCAAAACATGCTAGGGTTGAATATACTGTTAACAAGCCATTCTAAAAATAAAATATAGGGTGTTCTATTAAAAAAAAACAAATTTTTATTTGCCAGGCAAAAAACGTCTATAACACAAATTAAAATATGGAACAATTACGCCCTGTATAAACAGATTCGTTTATTGACTTACATTAGGTTTAGGCTGTTTTTATTTTTATTAATTCCTCCTAGGTGCTAAAGTTACCTATTGAGCTAGGAATTCTAAATTTGTTTGTGTAGATGATAGTCTAATAATTAACTTATTTAAACTTAAACACATGATTTTTTTCAGGGCTAGGATATGGGCAATGAAAGCCAATCGGGAAGACTTTTTGGAGAAATTGGACGATCTATATAAAAGTTACAAGCTGTGTGAATGTCATTTAATTACGAGTATTAAAACTAAAATCCTAAAAGAATCGGTGAAGATGAGGACAGAGCATCTGCCTTCCACGAGAAAAGCCCGGGATCGAATCTAGGCCGGGGACTAATTAAATTAATTTTTTTTAATGTTTATTTTATAAATTAGTAAAATTCGTAAATTATTTTAAAATTAGTTATTTTGTCTAAATAACATAAAATAATTTATTTTAATTTGTAGATTTTCGTCAGTGGGTCGTAGAAAAAATATACTGTACAACTCGAGTGGATTGTCCATATCCACTCTTGTTGCACAATTTACTAATTATTTGTTTTCTTGGTTTAATGTTTACATCAGTAAATAGGAACTAAATTAATTTACTTTTCGAGTTTTCTTGTAAAAATCAATATTACTTTCTCCAAGTAAAAATTTAGTACCTACCTAAAATAGGTACTAATTATATAATTTCGCATAATATTGTAATCTAAATTTCACATTAGTATCAAGTTTCAAAATTCTCTACTTCGGTACGGTCAGATAAAAATATAATATATAAATAAAAACTGTCAAATTATTAATTCTACAAATCTTTATGAATAAAAATACATCTAAATAAAACCGATATTGTTAAAATAAAAGCACAAGTTACCGATTCTTTATAATAACCCAGAATATCATCGAGTTCCCAGACCTCAGTCAGTCGAAGCAGTCGTTTATCTAGGTATAAACACTATAAACCCTTTGCGCGATGAATGACGACACTTGCTAGACACACGGGGTACCACTTGATTTGCATCCACGGCCACAATTTGTCGTGAAGTGACTGTTTTAGCTTAAAACATCTGTTAACAAGGATATTACTAGCCACATACAAATTATTTTATCTCTAATCCGAAAGAAGTGCTATTATTCGTAATATTTATATTTAAATAATTTTTTTATTTATATTTGATAGATTTAAAACAAATTTAAAACTTAATTTCTCAAAACTTACTTAATGTGGCATGTAACCAACCTTATTACGCCGAGGTCTCCAATTATTTCAATAATAAATATATTTTTTAATCCGGGCCCGACTTTTCCGTCGAATCTAACAGAGATAGCACCATTCCGTCTCGCTTGGTTCTCGACCGCCACATCAAATACGCCGACACGGGTGGTCGAAGTGTCCTGTTGCCCATTTGCTCGGGAGCTTCTCTGGCTGCTTGAACCCGAATTTTTTATTTCGAAAAAATAATATTCCATTTGTAATAAGTAACCCAAAAAATCTTAGAAATTTTTCTTTTCTGCAGAAGTTTTTTAGACGCTATTGCGTTAATGTTTTAAAATTAATTATGCCATATTTGTGAATATTTTTTTCCAATACATGAGAACCAACTTTAATTTAAAAAAAAATTCAAATATAATTAATTGACTTAATTAGGTGTACCAGATACCAAATTTTTTCGTAAAATAAATAGTGTTACATAAAATATAAAATTGTAAGGTAGGTAACACTTAGGACCTGAACTGATTAAAAAATTAATTAAACATATAATTTAACGGAAATGTCAAACTTGGACACTGGATTGATCTTTTGGAAATTTTGGAGTATATTTGCGATGAATTAAGTCTTTTTCTAAAGAATTATCTACTGAGGTATTTATTGCTCTATTGATGAAGCAAAATAAACAAGTGATTGCAAAAATAAACAAAAACTATACTCGCATTTTCTGTCATTGTAGATTATTTAGAATAATGGATGACGACGGTAGCAGAAATTTAAATCAAGAAGAATTCTTACATGGACTCAAAGAAGTAGGGTTAGAATTATCGGAAGATGACACCAAAGAAATATTTCAGAAATTCGATACAAACGGAGATGGAAGTATTAATATTGAAGAATTCTTAATACACATTAGAGTAAGTACCTATCTATCAACTATCTCTAGTGTAACCCATTTGCTGCTTAGACAAAGTGACCACATTTCACTAAGTGTAATTTTATGACTGTTAATATTAAAGGTTATGCTATTAAGCACAGAACTGTCGAAATAAAGATGAGACACTTAAAATTATGTATTCACGTGAGAAAAATAAAGCGAGACTCGTAAATCGGCTGACTGTCTGTCGTGATCGATGGATACTTTTACCACTATAATAGTAGGCTGGCGCAGACTGTTCTACCTCTGTCCTGTCTAATAAATAGCATCGCTTATTCTATACTGTTTTTCTGGCATCATTGAGGGAAAGTTAACAAATTGTATATTAATGCGGTCCATTAGTGATGACATAAAAATTAACGAACAAATTTTAAAGTTGATTATAGAACACAAAACATATCCAGTTAAAGAATTGTTACTATATCATTTAAGTGATTTTAGGTATCAAAATATATGAAGTTATCAACAAAATTGTTTTAAAAGTAGAGCTTAAAAAACTCAGGCATGACAGAGCGTGCAATTCTTCTCTTTAAGTGTCAGTTTAGATTTAATTAAGAGCGGTGCGTAGTTATCACGCATATGACTCGTAACGGTCTTTGTCGGTCGTGTCTTTTGCATCTTTTTATTTTTATCGATTATAAGCAGGTCGGGTTGGATTTAGCCAAAACACTGCGGCTTCTTTGATCTATTGCATTCCCCTGATTTTCACGTATAGTGGAATAGTGCCTTTGATTTATTTTACTAGTTCCCTACCAAGTTTTCTAAGGCGTTCTTTCCGATTCTAGACCGAAAAGGGTGAAAAGCAAGAGCTTCGCATTCGAAGATAACATTGTATGAGGTTACTTCCTCGTCCATGCAGAATCTACACGTATTGGATCATTGTGTAATCCCATCACATGAAGGTGTTTCAACAAGCAGTGACCCGTTAGTATTCCGACAACGGTCGATTAAGAGGCCTTGAGAGCTGTAGCATATCAGAAAACATGCGTGTGATTGGTACCCTCCGCATGAGCTTACGGATTCTGTGTCCTGCCAGTGCATTTGGTATTTAGTGGTTATCCACCTGTTCACTGCCTGCCGAGCAGAGGTTTCGCTTATCCCATTTACAGGTTCAGATCCTGTGAATGGTAGTTCTGATCTTTCTTTAGCGACGTCATCAGCCATTTCATTTTCTACGATATCTGTATGTCCTGATCCTGACGATAGTTTTACTTTATTATGGGTAGCTAGATCATTAGGTATTCTTTATAAAAAGTCGAGCATGGTCTAAAACCTAAAATACAACCATCAGATATCAAATTTTATCAGTTGTATAAAGAATAAAGGTACTCTACTCTTGAATAAAACTAATATTTTTTGACAAACCTCGTATACCACTGAAAACATTTGATATTTGATGACTGTATTCTAGGTTTTAGATAATGCAGAACTTTTTATGAAGAATAACTTTTTTTTTTCCTAAAATTAATAATAAAAAAGTTTTCCAGGGGTGGGTGGCTCAGTGGTAGAGTCTCTGCCTGTGGATCCAAGGGTCCCAGATTCGAATCCCACAGTTGGCCGGGATTTTTTCATTTAATTTAATTATTTAAAATTAATTCTGATGCCTTGGTAGGATTCCCCACTCGACCATTCACTGTTGGGTTCTAATTAACAGTGCTGTTCCTAAAGTGGCGCTGGGAAACAGTAACAAAGCCTGCACAGAACACGAGGCGAAATAACCCTGGTAGTTAAAGCCGATGACACACACAAAAAAAAAGTTTTCCATATGATTCCAACTTAGGGGGACATACTGCATACATTTACACTAATTTTTACGTTTTTAAAACAATATGTACCTATATTAAAAAACTCACAACGTTGATTTTGAAATCAGTAACAGAATTACTTGTTTTTGTTTGACTCACTAACGTCATATTAATGCGGCGTATTTATTGCTAATATTTTCAAAATATATAAATTACCAAGAATTATTCTCAAAGGTATTGACAATTCAGGCTAAGCGATACACCCTGTGATGAAACGATTTATAAGATTCAGAGGTGAATTCTTGTATTTGTATTATTTAAATGATAAGATATTGGAGATTGCTAAATAGATGTATAACACATTCATATTAATACCTTCATTATTTGTTTGAATAAAAAAACATTCAGAAAGTTGAACTAATTATTTATGGATAACAAAAAAGCTAAATAATTACCTGTAATAATAATAATAATAATTTGAAATAATACAAAAATGGAAATGTTAAAAAAAATAAAAATCTAATTTCTATACATAATAATAAGGGTGATTTATCATATAAAATAATTGCAGGTACCTAACGAGAACATAATGTATTTCATTTAAAAGCCATCATTATCAACGAGAATATATGTATATAAATGAAATGAAATGTCATCGGTAAAACATTTTTATTTATGGTGGCATAGATGTTAATAAATATTTTCAAGCAGGAAAATTATTTTTTTACAGCCACAAGGATATTGTAAAACGAAAAAGTATGATATATACTGCGTTTAACTAAACGAATATATTTCATATGTCATATCCATTCTAGGTAGAGGAAACACTGCAAAAAAATGAAATCCACCAATCACAGTTCATATTTTGATCACCAAATACTATTATTTTTAAAATTTTAAATAAGTGACAATTCTGTCAAATTAATTGTCAGTATATTTTTTAGTTATTGAGATTAAATATACATTAAAATGATTTATTTTTGTGTAGAATCGATACATAATAGAATTTCTATTTTTGTTTCACCCACATTTTGAAATAAATCAAACTATATGAAACTAATTTAATTATGAATATTAAAACTAAAATCTTAAATCTGGCGGTGCAGGTAGACCCGCATTTAAATCTCGGCCAGGGACTAATAAAATTAAATCTTTTTTTTCATGTTTATTTTATTTCATAAATTAGTAAAAGTCATAAATTATTTTAAAATTAATTATTTTGTCTTAATAACCTAGAATACATTTTTCTTCGTTAAAACTCGTGCAAAAAGCATCATTACTTCACATCCTGTATATTATTTGCATAAGATTCATATTTATTTCAACTTAAAATAATTATTTTCACTTAAGACTTACAATAAATGACCAGTGACCACTCAAATAAAATCCTTTAAATGAAATTTGAGAAACTGAATAAATTATTTGACGTTTAAAAACTACAAGCTATAGAAAAAAATATGGTTTTCCATTTGACAATCATGGCTATTCGGTGCATTAAGTTTAGCTCCATAAGAAATGAATTGCATTTTAAAAATACTGGTATTTAAAGCATTAAAATTATATCGACTATTCTGAAAATCAATACGTTCTCCGCTGGAAGAAATTATTAAGTAAAATCCAAACCGCAAGTCTATTGGAGCTTCGTTTTGTTCTCGGACTAGAGTGGTCGGAAACGTGGAGAAAAATATTAAAACATGCGGCTAAGAAAAATTTCTCATCGGCACGAATGCAATACTGAGGCTCCATGGGTAGGGGTTTCAGTAATTCAAATTCTTCTATTGGTCCACAAATATAAAAATTTAGAGCCAGATGACCATTGACCAATGGATAAGTTAAATAATATTGAGAAAATACCCAAATATTTAGTACAAAGTAAAATAAAAGTCAAAAAAGCAAATAATAATAATATTAATAATACTCTCCCTAATTCACCCCCTTACGAGTGAATTTCAACCCCTGAAGTCGACTGAACGACTTGTGTAGGGGAAGGGACGGCTATTATTATTTGCCGTGGCGCTCCGGGGCGACTTAAAGATGATTGATGGTGCCATTTGACTTATAGGTGAGGAAAACCCGGAAAACCTCACCCACCATCATAGAAACGGTAATGCATGGCGATTTTTTAATCTGCATGTCATATCAACAGAAATTCAATTTCTATTAATATGGCACACATCAAATCCTAAACCGAACTATGCAATTTAATTAAAAATCCACATGGTCTGGTCTGGGATTCGAAACCCAGCAGTCTCAGACTCATAAACTTGCCTATAAATGAATATAAGCGCGTTAGACCGCTACACTACCGACCCGATAACACAATACATTAGGTTTTAGTGTTTAAAATGATTATAAAACTTGTCTAGAGTGTAAAGGCGGGTACAGAACTGAGTACGTAGGCGTATGAGGCAAGCCGAGGACGCATGAGCAAGGAGATGTGGACGGGTTTTCGAGGCGCGGCAAATTGCCTCGTTGTGTGCGCCGTATGACCTCGTTCCGATCCGTTTGTTGGCGGTACATCAAAGGGAGGCAATGCGCAGTACGTGCTCAGTCTGGACGGAGAATTTGTACCATACAGCACCGTACAGATTATAGCGAGTTTTTAGGATTTATTTTGCATGGAGTGGAACCAGAACAACGTTTCGCATCTCCTGGATTTAAATAATCAGCGTGATATCTTAAGAGAGCCAACCGTCAGTTTTATTACAACATCATCATCAAAAAAGAATATCCTTGGCAGGAAATCGGCCATCGATTCCTTCCTCTCTTTTTCTCTTTTATGTTATGTTTTAAATTATAAAACATGCACTCAAATCCGCGACGTCATCCTTCATTTTTGTTTTAATTTTACGAATGTTCCTGGTATACGGTTGCGTGCTCGCGAATTTACTGGATCAGTTGCAAACAGCGCCTTGTGCGTCCACCATTCGTGTATTCAAAATGCAGCGCACGAGGCATTCGGTTCGGCCCCGGCTTGCCTCATACGCGTACGTGCACAGATCTGTACCATCCTTAAAGATGAGTTATACCCAACAGCCTTTTTGATTCATTTTCCGTTTAAATAAATTTCGAGATCTATTATTTTTTCAAATTATTAGGTATGCTAGGACTCATGTCGCATGTCATGCGATTAGCAATTGATTTCACAGAAAAAAACAATCTTTCGGAAGTAGCGCATTAAATTTCATGTCAAATAGACAACACGTACTTTTAATTAATTAATTATAGTTAGTCATGTCGCAACGAGTGTCGCATGTTATACAGGCGACCATAAATATTGGTTCCGCCGAAAATTTGTGAAAACCCAGTTTACCGTAGTTAAACTTAAATTTCTGAAAAAAGCCAAAAATGTTCACAAACATGAGTAAAAGTTTTTTTCCGGAAGAGCGTTCGACCCAAAATGTTCACTAAATTTCCTGACAAATGTGTTTAAGGATCGGGAAAATGTTGATGACAGATAGTGAATACTCGAATTTTTAGTTTTTTTTTGAAAATTTGTTGGAAGGAAAATTCTAGAAACAAAATTCGATTTTCGCAACAAACAGATGGACAACACGTATTTAGGATTTTTATTAAAACAAAGATGGAATTCTTGATAATGAAAAGTGTAAGCTTTACAATTTAAGCGTACCTTCGAATATATGGAGTGATCCACAAAAAATGTTTCTAAAGGGCTTGGAAAAATTAATTTCTGTCTACAAACAGAAGAAAAGTATAGGAATCATGATTTTTTTTTACCTCGAGAGTTCGACGGATTTTTACTTTTTAGGGTCCCCTGAATCAATTTTGACTATTTTCGCGATAATGTCTGTGTGTGTACGATGACTCAAAACCGGAAAAAGAAAAACACTAAATTTTATTTTTTCTTCAGCCACCACTGAGCGATTCAAGAAAAAAAGTAATAGACGAAGCGTTTCGAAAAATGGATAAAACGGGAGACGGCGTAATAACGATAGATGATTTAAGAAACGTTTACAACGTAAAAGCGAATCCTCGTTATATTGCCGGCGAAGATAGTGAAGAATCGATCCTGACCAGATTTTTAGGCAATTTCGAAAACGAATCAACCAAAGATGGCCAGGTAAGCTAAACTAAATTGATGATGCTATATAACAATATAACTAATAGTGATCCACAAAAACTGGTTTCTAAAGTAGATAATCATCACAAAGGCTGATGCTCGACTCAGTTTGTTGAATGAAATCCAAACTATCATTTAATAAAAAAAAAGAATTGTTTGCTCCAATATGCGTAATTTTTTCCATTGGGTACTTTAGAAATATTTTTGTGGATCACACCATTCTAAAATCTTCAACAATACCCACGTAACCAAATTGATGTCATCAGTTGGTCAAAAGTAAATTAATAACTTCAGCAGTAGATAACCTCAAAATACTAACGTTTTTAACAGAACTGACAATTTGTGATAAGTAACTTGATCTCACCCTGTATATCTTCGATGAATGGTTGTGGTAAATCATATTTATAGATTTGAAGGGCTAATCGATCATGAATCTTTTGCTTATCATCTTCATGAAAGATAAGAGGTGAATAAAACGAATGATATAACAATTTGTTCACTTTATCCTGTTAATAAAATCGGTTTACACTTTCTGTTGTAATTACATTGAATGGACTGGAGACAAAGCCCAATTTTAGTATTATCCGAGATTTTGTGAAGAATGATAAATCTATACTACTCGTATATTCCTATGTTTGTTATGAAAATATATGATACAATGCTCGACGTGAGGAGTTCTCTTTTTCAGGGTCAGAGAGAATGTATCTCTGTTTCAGGGTGCATTAGATTATTGGCACCCCCAATTTCTCTACTGCACAAAATCCTGGTGTCAGTGACTGGTTTCTGTTCGTTGTTGGAACATACTTTGTTATGAAACTTATGTTTAATAATTATTAAATAATCAACCTTGCACATGATTGCAACTTGAAACAAATTGTCGACATAATTAAACAAAGTGTTATGTACAGGACGTTATTCAAGTAATTAATTAAAATTAAGAAAAATATGAATTTATACGCTTACAGCACAAGAACGAGTACGAAGAAACACGAACGGACCGTCAATCGGGCTAGGTGGGACCACGTAGTATTCAACGTCAATGCTCGGCGCAAATTACGAACTGTCGTTGTTTTTATTATGAAACGTAGCCATTGTTGTAATTTAATTAATTGAATAATTTTTTTTTTGGAGGGTGGGTGGCTCAGTGGTAGAGTCTCTGTCTGTGGATCCAAGGGTCCCAGGTTCGAATCCCACCTTTGGTCAGGATTTTTTTATTTAATTTAATTATTTAAAGTTAATTCTATTGCCTTGGTAGGATTCCCCACTCGACCTCTCACTGTTGGGTTCTAATTAACAGTGTTGTTCCTGAAGTGGCGCTGGGAAACAGTAACAAAGCCTACACAGAACACACATGATTGAGAATTTAAAACACAACCTTGAGACTGGCATATTAGGTATATACACCTAGGCCATAAATCGAAAAAAAAAAAAAAAAATACGTGTGCCACTCGGGACTGCCGCGGTAAAGCTATTGCATAGCATTTTTTATCAACTTATACAATTATAATTATTTACTTATTTTATTTATGCAGTATTTTTTTCTTTGATATTAATTCAAGTTTTTTCTTTGATATTAATACAAGTTACACTTTTTGAGCGTGGTGACCGATAAGAAAACAATTTTTTTTCTTTTCTTGAATAAATGAGAAGTTGTTTAAACTATTTTTATTATCTTACAATACATGTAGGTTATTCAGGAATTTTTATCATTGAAACTATAGGTTTATGGTAACTGAAATAAGAAACATAAGTTTGAGACTTGATATCCTCTAAATATCTGGAAAATACTGCGTCAATATGGTGGTCCCATATTTTGTTGTGGATTCTTGTGAATCATTATTCATTTTCAAATTCAATTTTTCCGAAATTGTGTCTAAAAGAGATAGAATCAGTTATGAGCAGTTAGCAGCTAGTCTACACGCATACGCCTAGTCGCACGCACACAAACACCGTGCCGAAGTCTGCCGAACTGAAACGGCGTTAGACGATGCACCGCTTTCAACGCCGCACCGCTGTGCCGGTCGGAGTGGGGGGTGTTAGGTTTATTTTCGTTACGGAATTTCTTTTTCAATTTTTCGATTTTTCGACTTTTTCGGTTTTTCGATTTTTCGAGGGTTTAGGTTTGTTTTCGTTACGGAATTTCTTGATTCAGTCACCGCGCTCAAAGCCCGCGATAAAATCTGTGCAATAGCTTAATAATGAAATAGTTAACACTGATAAAATAAAGATTAATATTTTTTCTACACCCGTATTATAATAATGCACTTATATGCCCATAATCCGTTTCATAATGATACCCATTATGATACAGATTTTTCATTACGATACATATTTTTAATCAATAGAAACCTACAATTTTTCAATCAAGCATGCTGTTTGACGTTTGTCCTAGGTTCCTATGTAATTGTTTTAGTTGTCAAAACGTATTAAATTTTCGTAGATAGCTAAACTTCGATAATTATAAAATTAAAATGTCTGATATCAGCGATATAGAAGACTCCTCCACACATATCGGAGAAAGCGGAAAATACAGTACAAAATATTTTGCCGCAAAAATCTAGGGAAATACCAATACCCGAAGTAATACCATTAATTACAATTTTGTAGAATTTTTCATAGAAATACGAGTAATTATTGTTATTGTGTTCAATACCAATATAAATATAATATTTATGGGTCTTGATTATTTATCGGGTGTAGAAAAAATAGCGTATGCAACTCTCATGTAATGGTTATTACATGATCGTTGCATAATATACTATTATAAATCTTGCAAAAAAAAATTAATATCTAATATTTACGCCAGCCGGGAACATTTGTGATACCAATTTATTAGAAGTCAGAGAAAGCTCTTCTAGTTCTTGTATTGCGTAAACGTTCCAGTCCGCAGACGTATATTTAACTCCGCTTCATACTAATACGAATAGGGTCAGATAAAACCTTCCACGGCTTTCAAAACGCCGCACCGCTGTACCGGTCGGAGTGGGGGGTGTTTTTTTTCTCTCCTGGGCTCGTCTGACTATGTGTCTCCGAATAACACTGAAGCCTATTGGCTTATTGTGTTTTACCCCATGTTAGTTCATAGCACCCACTCTATCACCTTTGTACCTTGTACAAGTTTGTACAGATCCTTGAGTGAGTGGGTTCTATACGTTGTTGGATCAACCTGGGGTTGTCCAAAAAGAGCCTGTCTTTTGCGATCTAGAGCTTCGCATTCGCACAGTATGTGTTTGGCCGTTTCTGGTTTCTTGTGACATAGTCGGCACATGAGTTCCCCATTGTACATGCCAATTTTGTTCAAGTGTCCCTTTACTGGGGCGTGCCCAGTCATGAACCCTGTTATCACTTTCAACTGGTTCCTATTCATTAAGAGTAGTTCTCCAGTTCTTTTGGGACATGGTCTGCCTATGAAGGCTTTTCCATGTGCCTGTTTTGGGGTGCTTCCCCAATAGTTGATATGTTTTTCCCGAATCCAGTCATTTATAAAACCCCGGACTGTACTTTTTGGTACTCCTGGGTTTGTGTCTGGTTCCGGTGTTTCTTCTGAACCTCTTTTTGCAAGTTCGTCAGCCTTTTCGTTGCCTTCGATCCCTTTGTGACCTGGCACCCAAAATAGTTTTACTCTATTTCGGTCTGCCAGTGTTCTTAGTTCTTCGATGCATTCCCATACCAGCCTCGACGTAACTTTCTGACTCGATATGGCCTTAAGTGCCGCTTGGCTGTCTGACATTATTTGAATATGCTGATTTTCGACAGCTCTTTCATTGTTCGTTTTTGCACATTGCAAAATTGCGTATACCTCGGCCTGAAATACCGAGGAATGTATTCCTATAGCATAGCTATGGTTAGTATCAGGGTTTTTGGAGAATACTCCTGCCCCAGTGCCTTCCGCAGTCTTAGACCCGTCTGTATACCAGATTTGTTCCTGTCGTTGGGCATTGGGCTCCCTTATGGTGATCTCCGCTCTTTCCTGTATTAAAACTTCAAAGGGAGTATTAAAAGAGTACCTCTTGGTTAAGTGGTCTGATCTCATGTCTAGCACGTCTCCTGTCACTAACCTTGAGATACTCATGTGACCTGGCCTAATGTCAAGATTTCCCAGTGTATTCCCTAATCTGTAAGCACCTAATCTTGCCTCCCCTTGTATCACATAGTGAAGAGGTGGGAGTCCTATTAGTGCTTCCATTGCAGCAGTGGGGGTTGTTTTCATTGCCCCCGTTATTCCGAGGCAGGCAAGTCTTTGTACCTTGCTAAACCTCGTTATTGCTTTCCTTTGCTGTGTCTTTGGCCACCACACCAAAGCTGCGTATGTTATTATGGGTCTCACCACCATGTTATAAATCCAATATACCATGTCTGGTTTTAACCCCCATTTCTTTCCAAAGGATCGCCTTGCCATCATTAATGAGGTTTCCGCTCTCCTTGTGGTTCTTTCTAGATGCTGGTTCCAGGTAAGTCTCGAGTCAATCATAACCCCGAGATATTTTACCTCCCCCTTAAGCTGGATGCTTGCACCTCTTAGGTTTAGAGGCCCTAGTCCCTCCAATTTCCTCCTGCGGGTGAATGCAATTATGTCAGATTTGTTTGGGCTAATGTTTAGTCCTTCCGCCTCTGTCCATTTTGTTACTATATTTAGAGCCTCTTGCATTCGATCTCTTACTATAGTGTTGTATTTTCCCTGTGCCATGATCACTAGATCATCGGCATATCCCAGGGTTCTATGTCCCTTATCTTTGAGAGCCCACTACAAGGTTCCACAGGAGTGGAGACAGCACTCCACCCTGTGGACATCCTCTCGCTACCCGTGCCGCTGTTGACTCTCCCATAAGGGTTGTGTGCATAGTTCTCTCCCTTAACATAGAGTCGATCCAGGACACGCATGTGTCCTCGATTCCTCTGTGTTTGAGAGATGTAATGATTGATTCAACGGAGGTATTGTCAAATGCACCCTCGATATCCAAGAATGCTCCCAGCATTACCTCCTTGTTTTCCAGTGTGTTCTCCACCCTTTTTATTAGTTGATGGAGAGCTGTTTCAGTTGATTTCCCTGCACTATAGGCGTATTGGTCTTGGTATATTGGCCTTTGAACCAATATCCCGTTTCTAATATGCCTATCTAGCAGTTTTTCCAAAGTCTTAAGTACGAAGGACATAAGACTTATTGGTCTTAGGGACTTTGCCGTTTCCTGTCCCATTTTCCCAGGTTTTGGTATAACAGTTACCCTAATATTTCTCCAAGCTTTTGGTATGTGTCCAAAGGCCAGGCTACTTCTGAGTATGTTACAGAGTCTGCTGTATAAAATATCAGGACCTCTTTGTAACATTATTGGATAAATCCCGTCCATGCCCGGTGATTTATATGGTTCGAATGAGCTAATTGCCCTTTTCAGTTTATCATAGTTCACCACTTGTTTGGCTATCCTCCAATCTTCCCTGTTGGCTCTATTATGAGCTTCCAGTCCGTTTAGATTCCGGTTAGCCGGTGTGTGTGCTATGGTTTGTGCACCAGGGAAGTGAACCCTGAAGAGTTCCCTTACTGTTTCCTTCCCTGTGATTGTGTACTCCCAAGAGTGGGGGGTGTTAGGTTTATTTTCGTTACGGAATTACGAAATTTCTTGATTCGGTCGCCACGATCAAAGCCCGCGATAAAAGTATGAATTAGGGCTTGAAGCTTCTATATCAGTCTATCTATATTTTTCAACACATCTGGCGCGGTTGATGTTTTGATTTGATTGGCTTGGGCACTTCACTAAGAATTAGTTTGTTAAACGTCCAAACAAGATGTCCGGCCTGTGGTAAAAGAGAAATGAAAAATGATACTATTGTTTGTTAGGTTGTATTTTTCACACCACATTCAGCTCATTCAAGTGGCTTGCAACTCGTTACGAATTACCGCTGTATTGGATGATTTCGAAGTTAGAATTCTTGGTATGCGACAGGGCCGGCGTTAGTGTCGTAGATATTTAAACATCACTAAAAAAACCATTTCCATTAAAATTCCTGTTTTACCAGATCATGTGAGATATGTGTATAGACCTTTTCATCACAATTTCTTTTTGTGCGCATGTGTCAATATCGGCCATCTTTTTCGTACTGTTTTTGTTAACAAGCATGTTAAAATGCCCACGCGAAAAAAATTATAATCGATAAATATTAATTTAGGTATATTCATTTAAAAAAAGCAAGAAAAAGTAAAGTAATAATAAAATACATTTTTGCAATCAATTATAATTATGTTATTTGTACGGAAACGAAACGGTGTTGTTATGGAGTATGTAAAAGTGACACACAGTATAAATCATTCAAAGGCAAATTATTTCATAAATTTTCCAAAGCCTTGACTGCAACATCGTTAAAAAAATCAAATTAACAGGCCAATAATCCATATTAAAACATGTTCAAAAAGCGCAAAATGTGCATTAGGTGTAAAAAAATGTGGTCGAAGTGACAACGGTTTTCGATGTATTGATGATGTTACTAAAGATACTTATATTTGTTCACTACATTTTCATGGAGAAAATGGTCCAACAGAAGAAAATTCTTATCTGGTATTACACAATATTTTTTTAATATTAAATAATACTTCGGTATACACAGTAATATGATTAAAAATGTCATATTGATCCTCAAAATATTAAATCATTTATTTTATTAATCATACTAGTGATTAACTATCATGTTAAAGTGTTTTTGCAAGTACTAATAGTTGGTTGGCATAATTATTTAGAATGGAGTTACAATTATTATTTGTTTTCATTAATTTTTTACACAGTTAAGCAGTATTGATACACCTAACCTCTCAATCAGTCCCCTTTTTTTGTTTGTAGCAAATATCCAAAACCTTTTCAACTGCTCACAACTATGCGCTTCCACAGAGTTATAAAAAAGTTAATCACCATCTACGATTTTTTCTAATGATTAATTTTTCTGTAGAGATAATGTTGCTTTTCCAGCCATTGTCGATCAAAACAGTACGAAACTTTTGAATTACCGCTATTTCAACATGGTGGCTGCGCTTGCGCTCCTGACATGATGAAAAGGTCTGTTGAAGACTGTATATAGGCATCGTTCATCCAATAAAGTTGTATGAGTCCATTTAATTTAGTGTGTATTTCCTAGATATTATTTCAATTTTTAACCTAATTTTGTATTTGAATTTGAAAAAGGCTTATTTTAGAATGGCCTACTGAGATTGGTGTATTCATCCTTATATTTTTGAGTAATATTAGAGGGTTGACAAGCAATATTTACAGCTGTTTTCTTTACACACCCCAGGGGATTCATTTGTAATTTGAAACGATGTTCTAAACTGTGGCAGCTTAAGATCTCTTTAAAATTTCCACATATATTGTAACTTGACCTAACCTAGTTTTTGATCCCCACGAAGTGATGTTAGTAAAGCACAAATTTACGTTTAGAGTTCAATGTAGCTGTAAGGGGAGGAAGAACAAAGTAAACACAGAGATGAATTACGATTACTTTTTATTTAACACCTATTCTTTTGTACAGCCGGAATTTTAGTTTGTGCCGTTTTTAAGCATATTATTTTTATGATTGCTTTTCAATGGGTCATTTCTAACCGCAGAGCTTTTAGTTCCCATAAAGGGTAAAATAAAAGTTTGAAGTACTTTGGTATATTTGTTAGCCTCCTGATATACTGTCAGAAATTTCCACGGAAATACGGACTTTACGACAATTAATATTTATGACAACAACATCACTATCGATTCTCTAAATAGTTTAATTTTTCACAATATAAAAACCCTATAATTTTTCCCACAAAAAACGTCTATTAATGAATATCAAAAATATGAAATGAACACACAGACGCGAATTTTTCCGCTAACGAATAAGGAACCTCACAGAAAAAAAGGATATGGCTGGCAAAAGCGACTACTGGGCGCGCGTTCGTCGGGTCAACCTTAGGAGTGACTAAATCCACTACGAATGTCGCCTATAGAGTAGTATTTTTAATCAATTAGGTACACTTTATAACGTTGCGTCGTAGATATAAAATAGCTTGCGGTTACCTATACTTGCGTGGTCACTGTTTACAAAGCCGGTTTTACATGAATGCTATTTGGTGCTATAGAACCGAGCGGTAAATCGTAAATTGGTAAATAGGGCGGTGCGCAGGGAGAGTTAATACTATACGATGGTCATCACGATTTGATGCCATCAAACCCCTAGGGCGCAGTTATGCATCAATAAAAAGAAGTTTATAATAAATATCTCAAAATAGAGAAGAAAATAGTGTTGTGAAAGTTGAAGTTCGTTTGCCGAGAAATTAAAGCTTCTTGAAAATAGCATTTTTTTAAAATTCTGGTTGTATATTTTACACCAAACAAATGATGTAAGTAAGGCTCTTCGACAAAAGAATATGGATACGTACCACATCTAACCTTTTATCTTCAATACTTTCAATATCAATATCTAAGCCAACGAAAAATACATAGAATGACGAAGCACTAGAAGAAAGAGACATTAGGGGAACCAAATACAGAAGTTATTTTAGATCCTAGAGAAAAAATAAGATCACAGAATTACTTTTCAATCTTTGACAATCTTCAAGCAGAAATTATTCAATCTGAATAATTCGAATTTTTGGACATTTGCTCTTTTTGTTAACTTGACTCGGTGAAGGTGAAAAAGCTAATCCCCAGCCCAGAAGAAACGTGGTATTTATACTTCAATTTCCCATATATACACATGTATTGGAAAGGGAGCGACTGTGAATCTGGTGCATAAAGACTTTAACGCACTTTATTAACCCCTGAATATAGCACTAACGTTTCACATCCTATTTCAAAAGTAATTAAGTGGCGCCTAGCAGTCGCGAGACGGTGGGATGTTGTTTGCAATCGGAATTAAAATTTCAATATATAAGAGTTATTTAAATTAACTATCAACCCCCGGTTGTCGGATTTCAATATCATGATAATTTGTACTAGCAAGGGAAGTTCAAATGAGGTCCTCTGGATATCCTGAGCGTATACAATTTTTAGCATATAGTACCTATTAAAAACGCCCATGTTAAACATTCAAGAGATGTCCATAAGCCTTATTTTGATCAAATATAAACATTCCAAAAAAGTCGTGTCCCCACAAAAGTTGTCCCAAAACAATATTCAAAGGGATGTTAGAACTTATGTCCAACGCACTTTTACGGATATAAAACGAATGTCCCTTGAAAATTCAAAATGTCTGTTAAGAATGACCTATTGACTAGTGGGCTATTATTGAGCTTTTTCATTTAAAAAATATTTACATTTGAGATTTTAAAATCTGTTTGTTTCAGGTGACCAAAGAAGAATTTTTAAATTACTATTCAGCGATAAGTGCCTCTATTGATAACGACTGTTATTTCGATTTGATGATGAGACAGGCTTACAAACTTTAAGACATTTTCACACGAAAATCCACCAGCTTGTTACAATTGACTACTACAAATTTTGAAGCAGAATTAAGAAATAACGTTTATTATTTTCTAAGCACTACAGTTTTTTCGCAGCACAAATTAAATTTTAAACATTGTTATCATCTTAATTAAGTAGATGTTTATTTAATAGTAGATGTTAATTTAAAAAATAAAGCAAATTTTATCAGCTTTTGTTATATGAATATACGATTTTTAAGTTTTATTGGCACTTCGGATAATTTACAGAATTGTCCATGAAAATAGTAGTCCCTTTTTTTCAGTATTTAATTGCCCGAAATTATGTTCCTGTACGTATTTTTATACACTCCAGTAATTCTTATTTAAACAAAATGTTTTTATGGAATACTTTATACAGCATTTCGTATTATGTAGATCTCTAATAATTCCTATAGGGAAGGATTGTATGTATCACTACAAGAAAAAATCGTTGTAAAATCGGGTGTGCCAATAATACTAAAAAATAATGTTATACAATTAGTCAAATTTTATCATACATGTTAAAAGTATCTAATAACTTTTACATTTATAATTATTGTTGAAGAAAAATATGTTTGTATTTCAAATGTTCTTTTTTATATTGTCCATACACCCAAATAATCAGACTATATCAGTACAGCGTATTTTTCTTTTTCATGTTTTATTAAACAACAAAAACAAAATGTGATTTATATAAAACAATTTTATTGATAAATATACATAAGTATTTAATAACATAAACATATATTTTATTTCGAATTGCACTTACTTACATTATTAATAAATTTACAAATAGTAAAAAAATATCACAATTTTGAACATTTATAATATAACAATTTTTGTGATTAAAATACATAATTAATAAAACTTAATATTATTTCATTTATTGCAACTTCATAAAAATGTACGTTTTTTAAAACTCTTACAAAAATACTATGACACGCGTTTTCTTGAAACGGCAAGAAAATGTGGCTTAGAAAAATACTGTTTAAACACTGCGTTAAAGTACAGTCAGCCAAAATTATTGGTTAATATTATTTTTAAAATACAAAATTGGTCTTTTGGAGTAAGTAATAAGGGCGTTTGGAACATTTCCCCTAGATCAATGGTAAACTTGTGAACAGCTGATATGAATGCATGCCGTTTGACGTTGACTTTTTTTGCAAGGTTCCTGGAAAAAACGGACACTGACTATCTTTACGGCTCAAATACGGCTATGGTCACTGATTCTAGTCGGCGGGTGGACTAAACGGATGGGCGGGGTGTCAGATCGGCAACCTGCCATTAGCAGATTTCCGATCGAACGGCTTGCCTATCAGTACAGTTTGCGATTAATGTACACAGCTAAGGCATAAAGGCGTTTTCGGAAACTTACTCGGATCAGAAAGATTATGGATCCTATTGTTCGTTTTGTGAACCACTCTACGAGTAGATTAGTAATAGATCCGCGAGCGCACCGCAGGATTTTTTAAATGGATAACGCAATTTTTTGGTATTTGGTGTCTGCCAGTAGTAGATTTGAAGTGTTTTCTACATTCAATTAGTTAATAGTTAATGCCCATATTGCGACTTTATTATTCAGATTACAAATAAGTTTAATTAAAATGGTTTTTTAACTAATAGGGGGGAAAAGTCAAAGATTGACAGCCGTAGATAAACAGGATCCATAATCCAACTCATTCGTAAACTGTCGGCACTAAGTTCAGTGATCCACGTGATCCATCAGGTAAAACCAGTAATCTGGATTTGTTATCTATAGTAGGTTTCCGAAAATGCCTATAGACAATATTAGAAAATAGCACAATGAAAATCCTGTTTTTTCGTTCGCCTTTTTAGGGAAAACACAAAATTTAATTCAGACAAACTTCCTACTAAATCACTTACTGTTTATCAGCGTCTTTGCCAGAATGGTCAAATAATGCTACTAAAAGTGAGGAGTTAATTCTTAAAGGTCAAATGACGAACATCCTGCATTTTGCAGTCCGGTATAAACATCTGCCATGGCCCCTTGTTAAACAAGAAGGCCGAATAAAGAAGATCTCGTTATTCTTAAATCTGAAAATGTAGATGTATGTAAAATAAAGAACATTGTCTTTACTTCTTATACAAAGCGACGTTGCCATTATTCTATAGATGATTATTTTTTATCAGATATGTAAAAAAAAGAGGGAAATTGTTCCAGTTGCCCCATTGCCTACTTTTTGGTTATCATTTGGAATGAGATTAACTACAGTACCTTTTCAATTAGCTTACAATGACATCATTAACAATAATCCAGAATAAACAGGAATAGAATCGGTATCTATTTAAAAAATAAAATATTTATTATGGCAAGATTGGCGACAATGTAAAACCATTATCATCAAATATATACTTTTAAATGCACTGGAATTGTACCGTTTTCAGTAATTGAGTCTTTTTAGCAGAACCGTTTCCGTTATTATTTAGGTATTCTCGTATTGCAATTACCGTGCAATACAACAACGTCGTGATTGCATTTAAAATAATCCGCGAATATACTACTGTAACCGTGATCTCTCCACCATGTGCAGAGCTGTCTATTGAAGCCGCAATTAAGGGTTTGTATCAGATGAGGATGTTCATAACCCACCAAAGTGTAAAAATCTTGATCTCCGAGATGGCCTCGAAACCTGAGCAAAATAAACAATATAAGCAAAAATTCAATATTAATAACCTGTATGGCTTTTTCTAACTGATATAACTTCCTTATAAGGCCCAGAACAGTTATTAGGTGTACTTCTTTCTTTACTAAGTAAGCTAAAAGTCGTATATTATACATGATGTTATTGAAATGCATTATATTTTAAAAAAGATGCAATATAGCGGCTCTCTTAAAATATGTAAAATATTTTGAAAAAATTTCAATAATTCAAGAAGTTATTAGATTTTGAAATTTTATGTAAATCAAGCATAGGCTACTAAAGTTGACAGGTCATCCACGAAATCTAGGTGAAGTTAAAATTTTAATATCGATATTCTTTTTGGGAACTACCCAATAACTACCATTCAGTGTAGAAAGGAGAGCCAAAATAACATTAGTTTTATAAGTGCATAATATACAATCATTTTCACAAAAAAAAAAGAAATAGAACACCATGATTGTGAACCCTTTAAACCAATAACCTCACAAAACGAGACAAAGGAAATACTCTAAATCTCAGTCCCAATTATTATGGAAAATAGTATGGTACCTTGCTGACGTTACGCAGCTAATGTTAGGTTACGGTTTGTTAAAAGAGTCTGCAACGCTCGACGAACGCGTACGGCAGAATCTGTCGTGTTGTACTCACGTCTGTTGTAGTAGAAGTGATTTGTTAGAATATAAAATCAGTTCCACTTGTTGATACTTGAATGAAAAAATGAGTTTCCATGAATTAAATAATGCATTAGTAACGATTATTTTAATGGAAGAAGACGACGAAGAAGAATTGTTAATGTTTTTAAAAAGTAACGAGCAAAATAAAGCATTATTTTTAACTATATTGTCTTTGCAACTTCTGCTTTACACCTGAGCAAGTACGGGATGCTCCCTTACTATATCAATTAATATTTCACCCTCTTCAGAGGAAAATTTAAACATTTTATTATTTTTACCATAATACAAATTATCCTAACCTCATTTTACTTGACAGTCAGATGAAAAAGACCAAATCAAACTCAGATTGATTTCGGTGTAATCAGTTGATGCACACTGCTATCTGCCTAACTGTGCTGATAAACCATTCCCATAGTATTATTGAAGATACGGTTTGTTAGAACAGTGCATGATGCAAAACTCAGTCTGCTGAGCGTTGCGCGTCTGGTGAAATCTAACAATGTTAAAACTATGGAAATAGTTTGTTAGAGTCAGCACAGTTAGGCAGACAACAGCGTACGTCAACTGATTACGCCGAAATCAATTTGAGTTTGATTTGGACGCATTCATTCAGGTGAGCATACAGTAGACTGTCAAGGGAAATGGGGTTAGGATATTTTGTGTTATAATTAAAGTAATATAATGTAAAAATGTTCTTTTGAAGAGGATGAAATATTGATTAATATGGTATTGGAGCATCCCACACTTTATCAAGTGAAAAGCAGAAAGTTGCAAAGACAATATAGTTAAAATAGTGCTTTATTTTGTTCATTACTATTTAAAAACTAACAATTCTGCATAGTTTTCTTCTTATTCCATAAAAATAATCTCTACTAACAAGTTTTTTAATTCATGGGAATACATTTTCACCTACATGTATCAACAAAACAAGTTGAATTGATTTATAATCTAAGAAACCGCTTCTACTAAAACTGACGTCGAACGCGACAGATTCTGCCATACGCGCTCGTCGAGCATTGCGCACTGTTCTAACGAACCGTAGCTTAACATTGTTAACGGCCGTGCGCGGCGCACAGCAGACTGAGAATTTTGCATTAAATGTTCTAATGTTTAGATTAGACAGGCTTTGCCCTGCATACATTCGTACGTGTGGCGTTGTTGTCAAATTAGCATTGACATTGATTTTTTTTACGTCACTTACCCAATCATACATATGATATACCAATGGGAAAAATGAACTAATCAAAACAGGAACTAGAATAAATAAGCCCTAAACAATAGATATTTCCCTCTACATTACACTTCCACGCCACATTCGTAATCAACCAAGAACCAAGTTTAAACAGTAAATTAAAAGTATATTACTGTTAACATTAATGATTATTTTGTAAAAGTGAAACATGATACCTAATATTTTTAATAATTATATTTGTGGCATTTTTTATTATTTTTATTACTATTACCAATATGTAAAATATAAAATATTTTCATGATCATTATTTTGTAAAAGTGGAAAATGGCCCCTAATATTTTTTATTTTTATTACTATTACTAATATGTAAAATGTGAATGTAACTATTTAAGTGTTTAAGGTAGTTCACTCGTAAAACGGCCTTTTTTAAGAATTCAATAAAATTGAAATATATAAAAAAAAAGAATTTTTTTGATCGTCTATGAAACAAGATATTAAAAATCAAAATGTCCATAATTAATACTTTTGAAGCCTGTCATGTACACAAGCAATGCATTTATTTCAAGATATCTCGAAAACGATTCTTACTATATTTTTTAAAAACTAATGTAATGTAAATCAAGAAATTACAAAATTTTCTAAAAAAAAACGATGAATTTTTTGACCGTTTTGGTAAAAACATTGTAATCGCTACACTTAATTCGCAGTAACTTAAATGTCTGTTAGATAACTTTAGGCTTGTTTTGGTTCTTACGGAAACTAGTTCGAAATCACTGAATTACATTCGATTAGCTAAGAGGTTGTTATAACCTCGCGACATGTTCTTGAAAAATTAGTTCGTCCACTGTATTTGAGAACTGGAATCGACGGTTCTGTTTTAACCAAAACAAACCCTTTGTAAGTATTAACGTAATGTAGGGTTAAGAAATTACCCAAATACATTATTACGTATTTTCATTAAATTAGAATAACAAAGAAAATAAAAACATTTTTTATTAATTGAAATATCTCAGTGACGGCGTTGTACATTGCACTGGAACACTAAAAAATTAGTATGAGGAAGTCACAAATTTCTATAGGCATACACACTCACTTGATAGCCCACCATTCATATATCCTATCCGTATATAAAGCTTACATGTGTTGTGTAGTCTTTTACAAAAATATCATTTTTTAGCATTGAGAATCTCGAGCTATTGGTATTCACCATTAAGCGATATTTTTGTGTACGACGTTCGTGAGTGAACTACCTTAAATACTGACAACTACGTAAACATTTTATATGTATTACTAAGAAAAAGTATACATTTTTGCGTTTTTTTTTGTTCATCATTTAGAAGTGTTTTTTTTTACAACATTGAACTGACGAATATGATTTTAGTGTATGTGACGGCTGGAGAAAATTCTAAAGCCTAATTCCTTGCATCTTCCTTAGGTTTGTAGCAACTGAATTCATACATGCCATTGAACATACATGTCTTAATAATAACAGACGCCATTTAGAACATTTATTTAATGTACTAAAATAGACATGTATTTTTTTTCTTACTACAAATTTAATTTTTTAGAATGTTTCACAACGTTGGGTGAGTAGGTTTAATTAGAGAAACATTTATCATAAATTTTGTAACAAACCGGCATCAGCATAAAAGTATATTCTGGTTTAACAAAAAAATGTACAATAATGGTCAGAAAAAGGGAAAATCAACTCATTGGTTTTTGGACATCACATATTCTTGCCATGTTTAATGTATACGTATTTCAATAACACCTTGTACAGGTCCTTCGATAATAGCAACCACGATACACAAATGCCGGTATGCTACTATTTCGACCCAATTTCACACTTTAGCGCATGAGGTAACGTGGCAAACAGTATTTGATTTACGTTTAAATAAGAATTATTTTTTAATACAGGTTTATTTCTAATTATAAAGATATGATACGCGTTCATTTTTGGAATTTTAAATAATCATAAATAGCATTTTGCTTGTCTGCTGTTCATTTTTGAAGTACCTATTTGAAGAGTTTAAAGTGTTTTGATTTTGTGTTTCCCATTTTTGGATGTTTTTAAAGGGTGATTTCTTCAGCAATTTTATTATGACAATAATAAAATTATAAAATGTTTAATTGTGCGGTGGATACTTGTAAAAATTATAGCAAAATTACGATGGGAATGGACATTAAATATTTTAGATTTCCAAAGAATGATGATTTGGCTAAGCAGTGGATTGTAGAATGTTACCGAGAAGCTACAATAAACTTAAAAAATGGTATGTGTAGGAGCTTTTATTTAAATAATGAAAAATTTGATTCACATTTAATAATATTCAGTATCAATGGTCAGGTAAAATGCTGATGCGGTTGCAAAAACATAAATTTCATGTACATAAAATATGATGAGATGTTTTTGTGCAGCTTGTATTTCCTCTGTAAACTTCGAGTCTCATGTTTCGAAGTGCCTCTGCAGTAGAGATTATTGGGATATATGCCCATAAATAGCCGACATTTGAAACTTGTATTTATACGTCGATTATACCACGTGACGTCATATCATGTGACAACGATAGAGATAACATGCGCAGGAACATACCGGTATTTATCTATCGTGGTAGCAACTTATATCTGAAAAGAAGTATAATTACCTGTATTTTGAAGTCATTGCTTGCACCGATTCGTTCAAAATGAGTTTTGGAAATTCTAAGGATTTCCTTTGAGCACCGAGATTGATAAGTACGACACCAGTGTTGTAACCTTGGAACCCTTTCGGGTGGACGTCATTGGAAATATTGTTATCATGATAAAATTCACCAAAAGTTGTGTTATGCTTGGCTTTGTACATGTGTAGGATGTGGCGGTATACAGGAGTTAATTCCGGCGCTAATCCGAATAGGGCAGTGGGTTTAAATCTAAAAATAAAGTATATTATATACACTCGATCAAATTTAAATACTTCTGCTAGGAGTAAAATTTTTTGAGAAACTGTTAGCACCACTACAGTTCGCTATTTTCTTTGCTTGCAAGTAAAACTGCAGTAATTCTTATTACATGTTTGTGCACTAACGTTCTTTGATCAACTATTACAATTCCTCTTGCGTACTAAAAACTTAGTTTAGTACACCAACTTAGTTAAGGAAATAAGTTCGCCAATATAGGTTCGCTAACATACCATTTAATAAATAAAAATTAAATACCATTTAATAATTAAATAAAACCTACATCATTGATCATTCTTTCATATTCTAGTAAGTGTAAAAGCATAGTAGAGCCTTGTACATTACTACACAAGTTATAACACATTAACACTCGACTCTTTGAAACAACTGTTCTGTTCACCTCACCGTTGACCAATCTCTCAATTTTAATATGGAGCTAGTTTCAGGCCGCTATATGAGGGTAAAAAAATAGTGGAGCAGGTTAAACAATATGCATAGAGCGCACAAACAGAAACATACTGGAGTAATGCACCTAGCTATCCACTTCGCCGCTCATCTTGCCATAAATTAACAAACAACACAATTTATTTTCTGACAGGAAACTGCCTGAAATTAGTAGCATGATTGGTTGTCTCAAGTACGGCTTATTACAATTGAGAGACTGACAGTACTTAACGTAGTGAACCAAACAGTTAATGCAAAAACATAGTGGAGTAGTTTACGTCGCTGCGCCTCTCGCCTTACACATTGTCGTGCATGTTGCCTTGTTTCGACACTTGCCCCTCTGAAACATAATGTCGCCATTGACCACAGCCAGTCTTTCAATTTTAATGTTTAATTAAAGTGAAAACAATTTGAAGAAAAATTGACAAAGCGTTGGCGCCTCTACCAGTTGGGCCAACGAAGCTGTGACAGCCGAACTCATATTCCGATTCTCGTCAGCTTTTTCAATTTTTCTTTGGTTTGTTTTCACTTTTTCATAATTTTGTAGAGGAAATTATATTTTCATCTTTATAAAATTACATTTTAGTTTTTTGGATCCCAACCGATTTTCTCACTTCACTTTTGTTTGTCATTTTACTTATCATGTTACTTAAGTTTATGCAATTTTTTTAATTAACGTTTTTTTAAAATGTACGAGAAATATGGACAAAGCGCCCCACGCGTTTTTCACAATATTACTAGTATTTTCCATTTATTATTGTTTTAAGCTTATTTGAAAAATTATTTTTAACTTTTTAGTTTGATATGCTCTAAAAGCGTGTTTTTTAGTTTTTTAAAACTATACCTATTTATTTTTTTTACTTTTTAGTTCGATTAATTATTAAAAAAAAATTGCTGAAAAAAAAATAATTATTTTTTTTCAGCCGTGGACAGGAGTAGAACCCACGATCGGTGAGTCTGGCGATCGACAGACCTGCACCTTAGACCGCTCCGCCAACTAACGAACTTGAGGTAGTGGGATATACTGACAGTAATAAGCCACTTGCTTTTAGTCCAAAGGAGAGTTACAAACATACATACAGGTGAAGCTAATAAAAGCGTGTTAAAAAAAATGATTTGTCTGATCATGATCTGGTATTAGGTCACATAGTTTATAAGATATCACAGAAATTTTCATCTAAATCTGGAAGAATATTTAGTAAATTACAATAAATTTTCTCAACTGTGTATTGAGGAAAATTGGTTTAATATTTTGTCATCCTCAGACTCTTTTCAGCAGTATCATACCTCCATTACATTTTTTTAATAATAATGCTTTTCTTATGAAAACACTAAAAAACAAACCCATACGCATTCCTTGTACCTAATAAAAAACTATTCAGGTGGTAGTGGTTATATCTTAAATTATTACTTGAAATATCCTACAATTTACAGGAAAACGATTAAAGCAGCTAAACAATTATACTTTAAAAAAAGAATAAACGAAGCAAGCAATAAACAAAGAGACCTGGAAAATAATAAATGACTTAAGAGGTAAAAGGTCTAAACCCTTGGTCACCAATTTAAGCCCTACCGAAATCAACGATTTTGATTGTTCTGATGTATGACCACCCAAATAACTCCTTCGGCAGATGCTTCGTCTTATTTAAATAATCTAAATATTAACGATTCATTATATTTTATACCAACTGATGTTGTAGAAATTAAGGATATCCTCTCTTTTACCACAAAAAAGAATTCCTCAGGTTGGGATGAAATATCAGTTAATCTTCTTCCACATCTTCCAGAAGATGCTTTAAATGTTTTAGCAGAATCAGTCAATCGTTCATTTTGGACAGGTTCTTTCAGCGATTCTTTAAAAATAGTCAATGTAATACCTGTGTACAAGGGCGGTGATCATGATTGTCCTTCTAACTATCGACCCATTTCTTTATTGCCCACTTTGGCAAAAATTATTGAAAAATTGGTTAATATGAGAATGTAAGCTTTCCTTAAAAAACACGGAGTACTATCTATCTATTGTCTCATTCGCTATAATTTCAGTTGGACAGAAACAAATTTGCAAAAAACACGAAAATAAATTCTTAGGATTATTCACTGACCAGAAATTAAAATTTGAAATCCATGCTAATAGTTTGTGTAAGAAGCTGCCCTTTGGATGTTTTGCAGTAATATTTCTGTTGCAAGGAGTGTATACTTTTCATTTGTAGAATCGCATCTGTGATATGCTATAAGTTTCTGGGAAACATGTTCTTCCGAGTTGTTCACTAGAGTATTTGTCTTACAGAAGAGGGTCATAAGACATATGTGCAAAGTTGATGCTAGTGTCTCTTGTAAGCCATTATTTATTAGGCACAATATACTAACACTCACTTGTCTGTTTATTTTATAAATTGTACTTTTAGTTCTAAAAAAATATAAATGTAATATTATTACCTCCAGTAATACTCGAAGAATCTTTTACCTTCCCTTGCCTATACCCTCTTCCGGTTTGGTATATGGTTCTATTGTATATAGCGGGAAGATGTTTAACCACCTGACTCATTAAAAATATTTAAAAAGTAAGTTAAGAAACTCTTGCTCCAAAAGGCCTACTATAAATTGGATGAATTTTTCTGTGATCGGTTGAATTTAGTAGCTCATTTTAATTTATGTGTATATTATATATTTGTCGATTGTCATATTTGTACTTTGTGTATGTGCATATACATTTTTGTTCTTTATATTATATTTTATGTCTTGACATTAGAATTTCAAAAATTTATTGGATCAATCTTCTTTCTTTTAAATTTTTATAGTTCTGTCTGTAAATTTTTATTTTATCTTATTATTTTATATCATTTTTTTTATTTTATATCTATAAGTAATTAATATTATAAAAACCAAAGGGACCTTAAAATATTGTTTAACATTATTAACTCCTCTGCCGATTGTCCCTGCTTGTTATCCCAAGTTGGATTTTCTGTACCCTTTAGAGTAACTAGGGATATTAATACATTCTCCCAACCTTTCCATAGAACAAATTATGGTTCTTATTCTTTTATTCCTAGAGTGACAAGATCTGCTAATAGACTAAATGTAGAATGGATTACTTCTCCATCAGAATTTTCTAACCATTTATGTATATGTGAGGAATAGATGTTAGATTTTTAATTGTTTTTTAATATATTTAAATTAATTTATTATTATTATTATTATTTAGGATTTTATTACTATTTAATGATTATGATATGTATTCTCTGTAATTGTATTGTTTTGATGGGCTCTGACCCGTAAATAAATTAAATAAATAAATAAATAAATAATGTATTCAAGAGCTGTTCAACAGCATTTATAAATTACATATTTAATAAAAACATTTCTTTCTATAGTCTAGGGATTTTTAAACTGATTGGCAGCACTCATTTCAAGAAAGGAAAATTGCAAACTGTAAAAAGGGCCCTCATGGGATACAAATACTTTTGTCGGGAGTTAAATTTTTTGAGAAAGTGTCAATAAAGTTTTTCATTTGGTGCAAACTTTTTGGAACACGCTGTATTATATATCAAAAGTTTCATTATCAATAAGTCAACTGATCACAAAGTAATATTTGCAGTGAAATTAATTTTGTTGATTTCTATAATAAAATTGCTAAGTAATTCGTTTACATTTGCATAAATAAAACTTTATGGTTATCGTAAATTTGTCACTAGTTAATTTATTTCGAAAATAAAATTACAACAGTTAAAAAGAAAGTCTTATAGATGCTAATTTAGTTTTCCTACAATTACCAATAGTATTTAATAAAATATTAACTTAGGTTATTAACCCTTTCACTGCGAGAAACGACTTTATTCGAAATTCTTGTTAGGGGTTTTGCTGAGAGAAACGATTATTTTATATATGTGATATAGACAACCAGACATACAGAGATTGGTTGCAAATATGTGGCAAATCGAATAAAATCGTTTCCCGAGATTCCTGTAGCTGCAATTTTAACAAGCGTTGTCAACAGTTTGCGAGTTTTTGGCCACAGCAATATGCCTTTTAGTAATAAAAAACATCTGGAAAGGATTTACTAATGATCAAACGAAATCACTTTTTTCTGCCGATACAATATATCGGCCGATACCGATATTTACGTGTCGATATACCGATATATCGTATCGGCAAACATAATACCTTCTATTCCGTTGCGAGGACACGTTTGCAATTGCGCCTTCTATCTTTACACGATCGAAGCAAAAACCGGGGAAGTCCCGTTTTATAATTTCGTTGGGAGGAAACGTTTGTGATTGGTGGTGAGTGACATTTCAGATTTCGGGGAAGCCCCTTACATTCTATAGTGCTTTAAAACTAGACATGGGTAACGCACTAAAATTCTTTGCGTTGATACACTAACTCCGGCGCACTCTATTGCGCCAACTCATTGCGTTAACGCAATTGCGTTATTGCGTCACACCACTGCCTGCGCCGAATGAAGTCGATGCACCTCGGTGTATCGCATGATACCGGTGTTATTCAGCGCGGGCTGTCCTTTTATAAGGGTCAAACCGTGTTCAAGGCAATAACGCAATTGGGAATTTAACTAAATTATATGTTTAAAAATAAACGAAAATATAATAGTATAATGCACCCATTTTTTATTTCATTGTGTTCGGATTTTACAAAGAATACAAAAATTTCAATTTATATAAAAAGGATATAATTTTTGTATACTAGTAGCCAATCAAAATGGGAAGAACTAAAAACTGACAGTGTACAAGGTTAAAATCCATAAAATTCGACCTACAATCCTACAAAAAATGATGTGACATGTTGCAAAGAACATAATTACTTGATAGATTATGGGTAATCTGCATTACGAGTTGCATCAATTACGTAAATTAAAATTCTCAACTCGTCACGGAAAACGGAATCAGTGCCTGGCGCATGGCGCACCAACAACTCGCGATCCTTTCGACTCAGTATCGAAAATTAGTATCGAAAATTGCGTTAACGCAATAACGCAACGCAACGCTGCGTTACCCATGTCTATTTAAAACACGGCGTTTTAAACTTTACTGTTAATTAGAGGAGATAAAATAAATAATAAATAAAAATATTCTATTTAAATGGAGAGTTCAAATAGAATGGAAGCGGAGACGGGAGAAAGACAACGGTTGCTGATTATTTTGGACAGGGTAGTAGTAAAGAAGCGGAAAATAAAAAAATTAAAAGTATTGACAAAGGTAAAAGGAGCATCTTTTGGAGACATTTTGAGAAGATGCAGACAGATAAATCTGAAAACGAAAAAGCGACGTGTAATATCTGTAAAAGAACAATCTCTTTAGGTGAAAGAGGAAGACATGCGAACACTTCAAACTTAAAATCACATTTGGAAAAGTATCACGATGAAGAATTTCGCAATGTTACAAGAAAAGGTAAGTTAATTTTATTTATTCATTAAATATTTTAATACAGTGTAGTTATTTGAATGTCCAACATATGGGAATTTTTTTTATTAATTGCACAATCAAAATTCAAAATACAAATATTGCCGAAAGTTGGTGCATGTTTGATATTAGTTTTAGGTGCAAAATATTCTAAAAAAAATTGTTTTTAATTAAAAGGTATGCCTAAATACCAAAACATGGCCTCCTGAAAAAAATTCTACTGTTTTTGAGCTAGAAACAATTGCATTTTTCCCCTTTAAACAATTACAGAAGGAAAACAGTTAAATATAGGTAAAAACTAATTTAACTTTCACTACTGCGACTTTTGTATATAACACTTTTTTGTATTTCTGTAAATAAGGGAATTATGGATGCCTGACGCACTATTGCAGGACCCTGTATTTTTTTACTTACCCTGTATTGTTTTACTTAAAATAATTCACCTGAATAATTATCGAACATGCATCAACTTTAGGCAATACCTGTATTTTAGTTGCGCCATAAACAAAAATCCCATATGCTGCATACTTAAATGACCTCGTAAATGACCTCACATACAGTGTGTCCATAAATTGATTTATTTTCGGTTGAGACACCCCACCCCGTATTGTGAAGCGTGCATAATTCTTTTGTTCTTTATTTCCAGATGTTTAGAGGGCCAACGATTCTACACAGAATTTGACAGCACCAAAGGTCAATTCTACTCAAACTGATATTGTGGAATATTTTACATCAAAAAATGTATGGGACATAAATAGCAATAAAGCAAATGAGTATTACAAACTAATTGGGAGAAATGATTGCAGTTGATAACCAGCCATTTTCAATTGTTACTGATATGGGTTTTAAACACCTCATTGCAAAAGCTGTTCCTAAGTATAAAATGCCTTCAGAAAACTACTTTAAAGAAACTCTTTTACCTAATATTTATGAACAATGTAAAGGGACTCTGCAAAAGAATATTGAAGCAAGATCCAGAAAAATATCATTTACTACTGACATATGAACCAGTAACTGGACATTGGATCATCAATGGAATGCCATGCTCCTATGTTTTAAACACAAAAGGTTTTCCGGGAATTCATAGTGGTGAAACCATTGCCAGGTGTTTAACAAAAATGCTTAATGGCTGGAATCTGGCTATAAATGATGTTCATGTCATAATTGCTGATAACGCAGGCAATATGAAGAAAGCAATACAAGAAGTCCATATAAACTACGAACCATGTTTTGTTCATACACTTGAACTAATTATTCATGATGGCATCAACAGTCAAAGAGCTATTAATGACGTAATTGCAAAATCTCGAAAAATCGTCGGACATTTCAGCCATTCTCAATTGGCATGTGATAAACTTGAATAATTTCAAAACCAGTTGCAAGTTAATTCAGGATATTCAGACACGTTGGAATTCTACTTACTATATGCTTGAGCATATATTAGAACAAAAAGAAGCAATCTGCTTATATATTTCCAACAATCATGGTCTCACCAACCTAACTTAAGAGCATCTTCAATATTTTAAGGCCATTTGAAAACTTGTATCTCCCGCAAGTAAAGAACAATGTTGCATTTCTGAATTGATTTCATTAGTCGTAACCTTAACAGAATATTTATCCAAAGAGAGACTAAACTTTGCTGGTGTAGGTACAATAACGAACGAATTTCTAACAAGTTTAGAAAGACGACTTGGTGATATGTTATTTCGAGAAAATCTGTATGTTGCCACATTCTTAGACCCTAGGTTTAAAATGCATTTTTTACCAAAAGATACTAAAGAACAAACATTATCTCATATTAAAAAGGCAATACACAGTAGCTGAAGTGGATCCAGAATCTTTGGAAGATAAAGATAATATTTCCTTAAGCCATTTACAAAATAAGCAAAATACATTTTGGGAAACTTGTCACAGCATTGCCTCTACTTCGGCTTCCGAGACCAGTACTACAAAATACATGAAGAAAGGATGTGAAAATGAAATAATATTATATTTGGAATCTTCAACTCTATTAAAAGATAAATCTCCTTTTGGCAGTGTGTCAAGTGAACAACTTTTTAGTGAATTAGGTAATATATATATTTACTAGCCTAAAAGAAATAGACTAAATACAGATAGGGCTGAAATATTGGTGTTTTTGCATCATAATATCAATAAATTAAATTTTAATTATATACTGTATTTAGTACCTGCTACATTAGGTATATTTGTTGTTAGTAGTGTTAGGATTTGTTTTACTTTGTTGGTAAAAATTTTACCTTTAGAATAAAAATTTTTGTTTTGTTTAATATAGTATTTCATTCACTGAAAATAGTGAAAAGAGCAAACATTTCTTTTTGCCGATATATCGGCAATTATCTTGCCGATACGATACCGGTAATAGGCAGCAACTGCCGATATGCCGATGTACAGATATCAATATCGGTATCGTTCTAATGAATAGTGAATGAGGAAGAAAATTAATATTTAAATATACCATATAGTGGTGACGAGAATTTTTTATGGGATTCTGTATTTTGTTTCAATGAACTTTTTGTGATATATAATCCAAATAAAACAGAATTACATTGTTTTCTGGTTTATGTAAACTATGTATTTTCTTTAACATAAGTCATAAAATCTAATTAGTTTTGTTTGTTAAGCTAATAAAATACCGATTTTTATATTTCAAAATATATACTGGAAATATGGAAAACTGATATAGTTTTGGGTCTGTACACTGCAGAAATTGAGAATAGTCTAGAGAGCTGTCCGCTCCTGCAGTGACTACACTCGCAGTTGAAATGTTTAAAAACTCATAGTTAAAAATGTCTGGTGCAGTCAAAAGCCACCATTAATAGGTATTTGGAAGAAATTTTACTTTTACTAAAACATAGTTTAACTTACCTATCAAATTCGTTAAACAGTAAAGCTATGTCTTTCTTAAAATATAAATCACAATCTAACAAAATGGCAAAGTGTTGACTTTGAGGTGCAATCCTATACAGTCCTAGAGATATGTAAAAGAGAGCATCACTGTAGTAAGTACCTGAAAAATATAAAACCAAGGTAAAAAATATGTACTTACATAGATTGTTATTGAACTATACATTAAAAATCATCTATCTACCTGGTTTTGAACTAAAATGCGGTGTCATAACTTCAACAATATCCTGGATTTTCTTCGCACTTTCTTCAATATCATAAAATGAATAGACCATAGACTTGTTTCCATAGAGCGTTTCAGAGATTTGATTCTCTGCAATAGTTTGAGAACCTTTATCTACTATAATGTTGAACCTTAAAGGCACTGAGCTAACATTCAATAAATTGTGCAAAAGATCCCTGAACTTGTAGCTAAGGGTAGAAACATTTGTAACCTTTGTAAATATTAACCAAATATTATATTCTTTAGAATTGTGTGGGGCAGATGGCAAGAATTTCACATATCCTAAATCGTTTTTTAAATTTCTTACTAAGTTTCTTCTTTGTTTAACGACATCTTGAGTTAGGAGAGCATAGTAGAATAAAAAAAATAAACTTATTACTATGCATATGTTTAGGAATGTGTTGGTTCTGATTTTCCACATAACAACTGCTCATCTTCCACACCAGTTTCACTACACACTTATTGACAGAATATTTATTCTTTTCATTCCGGTTTATTACTCCAAAACAAACAGTAGCATGTCTTGTGTCTTGTCTGTCTTTTGAGACTTCTAAACAATGGTTTAGAACCTGAAATGTAAAATGTAAATACCAGAAGTCCAAGAAAGGTTAACAATTCAAACAACCTGTTCATTTCAGATTAGCTCCTATGCGGAACAATATTATAAACGATCATTAGGTGAGAGTGGAGTAGTTCGGCGTAAATGCGAATTATCTTTGAATTGAATTAAAATATTATTTTGCTAACAATATTAATATATCCCATCAAAAATAACAAGTTAAGTTTAATTTATTAAAATATTTATATTTTGTATATAAATACGATATTAACAATAATTTCTTAAATATTGAGGCTCAGGAATTTTATCCCACTCTCCCCATTTGCTTAATTGTGACGACTATTAACTAGAATATTTTTTGTGTGTTTATTTCTATACCTTGTTGTCAAATTTAAATTTCTTACATTGATAAATTCTAATATTAATATTTAGCTCAATAAAAAGAACGTATTTAGCAGTAAAAAAGAATTGCGCAATTATAAAAGTTCTAAAAAAAAAAAACGATCAATTCCAAAATAGTACATAATTGTCTAAATTTTGAATCTAAAGTTGTGAAGTGAATATAATTTATTAAAATGCAACATTTTTGAAAATTGGCAAGGTTGTAATTCCAGATGGTTAAGTTAATGATTAGGCAACACAAACAACATAAAACTGTTTAATACACGATTTCTTGGTTGCCTATACTTTACAATATTTTTATTTTATAGTATGTATTTTTACATGTTCTTATGCATAGGGGGCATGGGGAGGCAACTGCCCCTTCTCTGTGTTTTCTAATATATATTTCTAAAAAAATATTATTGGGAAAAACGCAAGAATCTACGTAAACTGTTTTTGATTCAGAGTACCTAGTAACGAAAATTTGTAAAATAATAATAAACCCCAAAGCTAAAAACAACAGATAATTGTCAAGAAGTCTTATTTCAGTCTAATTTAGTGTATACATGTGCCAATTTGATAAATTCCCACCACTAGTATCTTCCTTTCAGTAAATAATATGAAAAATCAGAAACACACACGTCAATTTAATTTTCAATGAATATTATTTGCTCTCCTGTTTCAACCCCCTAGGAAGGCTAGATGTTACCCTTAGAATCTTAAATGACAAGGGTAACACATTATTTGAAGAATGGAGAATTCAACTACTAATATCGTTGATTTAGATTTTAGCGTCCTGCTTGATAAAAAACTAATACGCTTCATTTAAAAGGTAATTTTATTAGTGGTTTCATGCGTAACATAAATTTGTTATTTTAGTTGATTGCGATTAAAATTTGTAAACGCTAGAGATTTGCACGATTTTTCAATTATCAAAGTTCATGTTACAGTAAATTGTTAAATTACTAAAAAAATTAAGCTTTCAAATGAAGTGCCACACTTTACAGTTTTTATCCCACTAGAAGGCGTTAAAATAAAAAATAATGCAATGAATATTCATTATTTATTTTGCTGCATTCTCCAAATTACCTTTATCATTTAAAATTCTAAGGGTAACATCTACCCCTCCTATAGGGGGTTGAGCCACGAAGGCTAAAAATATTCATTGAAAATATCACCCCTGAAAATACAATAATTGATGTGCCTTTCCGATTTTTATTATTATTTACTGAAAGAAAGATATTAAACGGTGGGAAGTTTTTAAATTGTTTTGTACCTTTAAACTTTGGAAATAGATATTCGTAATTTTTTTATTTCAAATTCAAACATTTATTAAGGCCGGTTTCCAGAATGGGCAACATGGGTATGTGTCAGAGTTGGGTCGGATACAGGAAAAAAGTATCCGAGTACCGGATACGGATACTTACAATGTATCCGGATACTTTTTAGGATACTTTCACCTAAAAAGTACTCGGATACAAGTATCCGGATACTTTTTTCGGATACTTTCTCGGATACTTTTAAAGTGAGTTAAAGATAATGTTTTCATACCAATAGTTATACTTATGCAATACGATTGATTACGTGTAACAATAAACAATACTAGGCAAAAATAAATGATCGAAAATGGAAGGCGATATAATAGAAACAGGAAAAAACTACTCAATAAATTGATTATTATTTTTATTCTGTGAATATAAAACCTTAAAACAAACTTAATAATAAAACATAAAGGTGCGTAAATAAAGCGAGTCGCGCCTGAACCGCACCAAAAACCAGCCAGTGTCGTGTCTATATAAATCTCAAGAAATTCTATATATCGAAATTTTTATTCTTAATATTTTTGTTATTTTAAACTGATCTGCCTAGAAAAAATATATATTTTTTAATTATGCCCTTTTTTTAAAAACTGGCTCCCGATAAATCTATATAATCATTATGTAACCATTCCTAAAATTTCAAATTTATTTTTACTTTTTTAAAATTACTTTAAAAATGGATTTTTAAAATAATTTTACATGTTAATAGAAAAAAGTAGAAATTTTAAATTTCAGGAATGGTTAGATAATGTCATTATTTAGATTAGTGGGGAGCCAGTTTTTTAAAATTGAGCGGAATTAAAAAATATATATATTTATCTTGGCAAATCAGCTTAAATTAAAAAATTATTATAGAGTTTCGTGTAAAATGTGAAAAAAAAATTCATTTAAATCGCTTGAGAAATATAAATCAAGTATTTTTAAGGGTATTACTTCCTCTTAATGGATCAGTTACGATTGTGGTAAATAATTTAAAAGTATCCGAATGCCCTAAAAAAGTATCCGGTATCCGGATACTTACAAATTTGGTCACGGATACGGATACCGGATACAAAATTTGAAAAGTATCCGGATACAGCTTTCGGATACACATAAAGTATCCGGATACAGAAGTATCCGGATACTACCCAACTCTGGTATGTGTACAGGGCGGCAAATGTTTGGAGAAAGTTTTTTAATTTAGAAAATTGGAAATATGCAGAGGAAGTTTTGATTATTTGTTCTATCCGGTTATTTCATTATCCATTAGTTTGTAGTTTTATTGCGTTTGCATTTGTATTTTGAACAAAGTTGAATTTTCCAAAAATCCTTTCTTAGCGGATGTTTCATATAAAATAAAACTATGTTCAAAATTTCAGCTTTTTAGACCTCGGTCGGTCGGATATAATTTTCTTCTAATTATTATCTTTCCATATACGAAATTTTTGACTACTAAATCTTAATACGAAAAAAATTGGATGACTCTAGCGAAGATTGTGGAAATTTACTCGTTAAAAAAAATCTTTTTATTATTTAACTTTTATTTGAACGGCTAAATTGGCGCTAAAACCTCTATAGTGAAAATTATTTAGTTAACGCACCCTGAAAATATTTTTTTACAAAACTTAAAGAATTGCATGGTGTAATGACTTTTAGAGAAAAAAATCCGAATCTGAAAATAAAAATTTGAGGGACGTTAAATCGGTAATTCCCACCTTATTGGAACTGCGTTTTCCCTCGGGCACACTCGTAGTATAAAAAAAGAGAAACACATTTATTTTGAACTTAAGATTGAAAGACGATGAGAAGTATTGAGACGTTGAATTTTTAGGTTTATGAAGCTTTGGTGTTACTTATGCTAAGCCACGTAGAGTTTTTAAGAAACATTTCATATCGTTATCTAAAAATATTTGAGCCTTTATTCATTTTAAGTTTGTTGATGTAATAATATTTCATCCCTTAATCCTGACCATGTAAACATATTTAAAACCCCTTTCCCATATAAAAATATTTGCTCCTTTTACCCCTGCTCATATAAACATATTGGTTTCCTTATTCCATCATTAGACTGCCGATCTAAAATATTTTCCTTTTACCTCTTAGTGCCCCAACCGCCTGTGCCACAAATTAGAGCTAATTTTTGAACAAAGTAATGAATCTAAATAATTTTTATTATCAAACTCAAACACTATTTCATACAACATACCTTTACGAAAACCCTGTGCATAAATTCGATTACCTTGCATAATCAGTACCTTATTATCATCAAAAACAACTTTATATCCATTTTTTTCAATTTTTCCTACGGATAATAAATTTTTTCTTAGATTTGGTACATAAATTACATCCTGAATTGTACACGCACACTTCCTTCCATTGACATTACACATTGCTTTAATATTTCCTATATGTGTGCCTTCTAATTCTTCACCAGCTTTAGCAACTCCAATTTTAGCTATGGAGTCTAAAATTTTGACATTACTTAAAAGATTAACATCATTCACTAAATGATCAGAAGCTCCAGAATCCACGTACCATGTCAACACTTGGCTAGTTTCTTTGAAGTTATTTACCATAAATGCTATGTTACCAGATTCATCTTCGTTATTCATTTGAAAATCTTCTACATTATTTGCTCGCTTTTGGTTATACCATGTATTTTTATTTCTTCTAGGTTGTCTTGCACGGCTATGTGGGCAATTATTTTCAATGTGACCTAGTTCGTTGCAATTAAAACATCGCACTTGTCTTCTAAAAGGAATTTTAGATTGAAATGCAGCACTATTATTCACATCACTAGGTGTGCAGCTACCGATATTGCTTCTTCTCTTCATTTCTTCATTCAATAATCTATTTTTGACAAATTCAATTGTTATCTTATCTGGTGATAAAGTTTCTATCGCAGTAACAACTATATTATAAGATTCCGGTAAAGTTAAAAGCAAAATACAAGCAATCATATCTTCTTCAAGTTTACCTCCTGCAGATTTGATTTGTCTTACAATATCATCAAATTGTACTAAATGATTTTCCATTGAATCATTATCATTATATTTTATAGTTAATAACTTCTCCAGCAATAATAATCTGTTCGAAACGCCCGTTCTTTCAAAAGTTGAAATCAATTTATTCCATTTTTCCTTAGCAGTAGAACCCTCTCTTACGTATTCTATATGAGAATCA